GACTCGTGTTCGCCGACTGCTGTGAATTGCGTTTCTTCGGCGATCCCGACGACTGTCCGTCCACTTTGAACGCCCGCAACGCGTCTGTCGACAGATTGCGTTTCAGTAATTGTGTCTTCATATACGAATCGAAGAGCCCGAAGGCCACGTCTCTGTTGTCTTTAGTCCAGGCGCCGCGCAGGTCGTGAACCACCAGCCGATGTGTGGGCGCCTCGGCGTCGATATCTCGCACATTGGATGGAGATTTGGTTTCCCTGTTATAGGAAACCTTTCTTACGCTCAAAAAATATTGTCTCTCTCCCGACCACTCGGATGTGTCGGTGATTGTTGTCTCGACTCCCGTTCCTTTGTAGAGCCAGATCTCGACGTCCGACAGCTCAGAGTTCATGTAAAGCATATCCCAAACGGGTTTTGTTCTGCGTTTTGTGAATAAATGATTCAATAAATTAATCGATAAATTGTTTGATTAAAATAACACTAACCTATGGATCAAATTATCATTGATTTGCATAAATGACTGCAAGTGTTCCGCACTGTGTGTTAAGTTAGAGCTAATTATTTCGAAACCTCTTTGTCTACTAAAAACTTTCTCGTTGTCCACTTCAATGGTGCGGATCTTGAAGTCGACACCAATTGTAGTGATATAACTGCCAGAGAAGGTGTTGTCCGCGAACCGCAACAAAAGGCTACTTTTGCCGACGCCTTAAGAGATAACAAAACAAATTAATGATCACAAGAGTGGACACAAACGGTGGTCACCAATACATACCGCTGTCGCCGATAATCAACAACTTAAACAAGTGGTCGTATTCTTTAGCCATCGGATCAGACAATCAGTAAATAATTTTTTGTGACAATTAATGAAACACTCAATGATTTTTTAAGACTATTGTTTTTATGACATATAAATCAGACACTAATCAAAACAAACACAACAAATAAAATACTGTAAATTAGATTATAATTTAATAATGTATTCACTCTATAGTGAACATAACGGGTGTGCAAAACGTGTACACAATTAAAATTAAAACTAAACCTAAACTAAAAGCGATTTAATTGAAAGTATAGTAAATTAATGGCAATAATTATAATTGAATTAACGCTAGAGTTGTTGTCCTCCTCTTCACAGACACTGATATCTACGGTTGAAAAAATGCCCGGCATTTAATATATATGCCCTTATATGCCCGGCACGTGCCCGGCATATGCCCGGCACGTTCCACCCAAAAAGCTCACACACCAGATGGCGTAAGTAGTAAAGTGTGTCATTCCCCCAATTCGCCCCCCAAATTATATGCCCAATTGGGCATGAAATATATATGCCCAAAATGCCGGGCATTTATGCCTAGGCATATGCCCAGTGGGCATAATGCCTAGTAGGCATTTTCAACCGTACTGATATCACTTCACATATAAATAGCCCACAGTTTTGGGCCATTAATAACGTAAACCTAATTTCATTGCCTTTGCAAATGAGGGCACGAGTTATGTATTGCTTATTATAGGGCTATAGGTTTGGAAAACCGATTGGGGTTTCAATAGTTATGCCATAAAAGTGGACGTAATTTGTGTCACGAGCTATGGGTTTGTCTCTTACAGAGTGTTTCACTCAAAGGGAGATTTGATTCGTTATGTAATCACATGTTATATGCAATGCATTAATGAATCACTGAATCATTTATTATTGTTTTTTTAATCAATGAATAAATTGCTGTCAAAACACGTGTTGTCGTCGGCGGCGGTGACGAGTCGGTGGTCGCGGCCAGCGATGAGTCCAATGCAGTGCCGAAGTGTCACATATGATGTGTTGCCGACCGGCGAGAAGGTTGTGGTCAACAAATACCCGAAGAGGTCGTCGAAGAGGGAGGACTGGCAGAGGGTTCGGCCCATGGGTTATGAGCCCAGACTTCGCAAACTCAAGATCTGGGAACAGAACGATCGCATCACAGCTGATCCACGAGTGGCCAGAAATACGGCCGCATCTAAACTACAGTCCATGAAAGACGATCTCCTCAACAGAGGGTTTGTTACCAATGTTTTTGCTGTCTTTTGATTTGCATTTTATTGTGTAATGTCTTTAATCGCCGTTTTCTCTTCGGTGTCCTCTTTTGTGGCCACAGTTTCTGCAGAGAAACCAAACCATACGAACCCCCAAAAGATGTCTATAATATCATTGAAAGTGTTTGCCGTCAAGTGTTTGAAAGTCAGACCCAAAGTAAAAACTGGTCACAGAATTCACTGTCCGATCGTATCGTTAAATTTAAGGTCACTTTTCGTTGATTAGAGTTTTTGACAACAAAATCACTCATTGATTGTGTGTTTTATTCATTAGTTTTTGACCAAATGTAACGAAGAGTTGAATCATGAGATCCCAAATTCAATGCTGTATTTAATGAGAACCGTTTCCGATGTCGTTGAGTACTATTCAACGCCAATCCGTGGCATTACTTCATACGACCAAATGGTTCAAAATAGCGATCAATTGCCGCAAAATCTTCACGTAATCGGAGAACCGCTTCGGTTTAATCCCGAAACGGACACATTCTTCGGCGGTATTAGTGCCTATCCTTTCCACGACCAACGAGTCAAAGGTTTGAGGGCTACGAAAAAGTATCCCGTAATTAAAGGACACTTCAAATGGCCGGACGTCTGAGTTTGTCATGAAATCGTTTTATTATTTTTCACTTATGATTTAAAATACATTTATAAGAACTGATTTTTATTATAATAATTAAGTTTTAGGTCTGTTTTTCGATTAAAATATATAAATAGACAACAAATATATAAAATAAAATATTATTGCACTAAAAGTATCACTTCTTATGACTAAAGAGTGACAGTTTAGTTGTTTTGCCGCTCTTGTGAGTGTTGGGTACGGCTAACGTTCCCAATAGCATACGAGCCTTGTCTTCGTCGCCCTCTTCGGTGGGCAGAGCGGCGTTGGCGTCGATCTCGACCGACAGTGACTTAGTTTTGCCCGAAATGTGAAACTTGTGTTTCAATGCCTGCGATAACAACACGCGTTTGGAGTCGTTCTTGAGGGCCATGAGTAGGTCGAGCCACGTCCACGTCCTGTTGTGGTACTCCATCGTCGGTAATATAATGGACACGTTATGCAAGTCCTCTAAATTCTTGCCTTTGTTGCCCTTATAGCTGACCCGAATCGGCACTTCCGGTATCTTAATGTAGACAAACGTCTGATTCTTTTGGGCTCTTTCGCGCATTTTCTCGATATGCCTTTCGTTGTCTTTAGTCATCTGCAGTGTCGATGTGGTCGCCGACGACGACTGACCGACGGACTTAGCGGACATGGATGTGACCGCCGAGCTATTGGTGCCGTTACTCGACATACTTTGAATGCTTTCATCGCGTTTCAAATTACTTCGCTTTTTATTTCCCTTCACTTGTGGCTCATTGTCTTCGTTGGCCTCCGAATGGGATGACTGTCCGGACAGTCGGTCCGGGAAAAAGAATTTCAGCATATTCTTGAAGAAGGCGTACGTCAAGCCCAGTGTCAACGGTATTACATTGACCTCCAGGTGCTCTTTGACGGGAATACCGCCGACGGGCGCCCTTTCGCGACAGAATATTCTCAACGCAATCTGTCGGTCGAGCGGTATATTGGGCTGCAATTCAGTCAACTGAATGACGTCTTTGTAGACCTGATTGGGCAACAGATTGGAGCAGTGAATGAATCCCAATTCAAACGAATGCTCCACCGAATCGTCGTTTTTGCTCACTTTGGTGTACAAGAAGTTGCTGAGCACCAGATCAGCCAAACCCAACTGGCCGTCAGCGTCGGTCAGCCGCCACACGGCGTGTTTGAAACAGACTTCATTGCGTCGAATCACGTTCGCGAACGGCGCTCCGTCCGACTCCTGGGCGGCCGACTGGCGCTCTCTGGTCTTGGATGCGCTGAGTTGTGCCTCTTTGTAACAGTTGATCATAATAGTGAGGTCTTCGCTGGCGATGTTGAGCTCCTCTTTGCACTCATCCATCTCGAACTCGATTTGCTGGGAGTCGGCCATCAGTTTGCGCTCCAACTGAGAGCCCGAGCCGTTCTCCTCGGCCAACGTCTTGTGTATGGCGTAACTCTCTTTCTCTATGCGCTTGATTTTGGCCACCAGTGACCGCACTTTGTCCTGAAGCTGTGATATGGGCTCGCGTTGGTCTTCAACGGAACTCAATTGCATACCGAACCGAATGCTCTGCTGTTTCTCGAAGATCTCCTTCTGATGCGGTTCGACGTAAAGCAATAGATTGTTCACCAAATCGACAATCATTGAGAACTGTTGCGAATTAGTGCTGATCTCTAAGTCGTGATGAGTGAGAGTGAATGTGTCGACAGCTATCTCGCGATCCCAGGGCTCGAGCGGCAACAGGCCGTCATCCAGAGGCAGTGGTGGCACCTCTTCGTACTCATTCGGGTCCACATTCTCGCCATAAGAGGCGTAAAAGAACTGACACTTACAGCGAGAGACGATACGCTGTAATTGTATGGACGACACGCCTCCAGCCATCTCGCCGTCACTACAAGTGCCCACCTCTGGACTCACGACTCCGCCCACACTCTGACCGCTGCCGACCAGATCCGGGAGTTCAACGATGTCTCGATTATTACGCTCTTCGATGTTGTCGAGTGTGAGCCAAGTTATGTCGTCGGTCTGAACGCCTCCCATATCGACAGTGGCGTAGTATTGCATGCATTCAAGCAATCCCTGCCACGTGGTCTTCGAGTAAAGCGTCCGATTCTTCCATACGGGCCGATGGATGCGCTGCAATATCTGCGCTTTGGCCGCACTCACGATCACATAGCCTTCGGTCTCACAGCCCCTCAACACGACCTGCGAGTTAATCAACTCAATCAACCAATTGTGTTGCAGCACATCCAGTGTCTGACACGCCTCCACACCGAACAACTGGGAACTCTCGGTCTTCACGGCGTTCTCGATGTCCTCCGTGTAGACTATGTTAGAGCTCTCGGCGTCGGCCTCAGCGATCAGCTTCTGAAGCATATGAGCTGCGTGTCCTTTATTCCTGGCCGGACTCGTGTTCGCCGACTGCTGTGAATTGCGTTTCTTCGGCGATCCCGACGACTGTCCGTCCACTTTGAACGCCCGCAACGCGTCTGTCGACAGATTGCGTTTCAGTAATTGTGTCTTCATATACGAAGACTCGTGTTCGCCGACTGCTGTGAATTGCGTTTCTTCGGCGATCCCGACGACTGTCCGTCCACTTTGAACGCCCGCAACGCGTCTGTCGACAGATTGCGTTTCAGTAATTGTGTCTTCATATACGAGTCGAAGAGCCCGAAGGCCACGTCTCGGTTGTCTTTAGTCCAGGCGCCGCGCAGGTCGTGAACCACCAGCCGATGTGTGGGCGCCTCGGCGTCGATGTCTCGCACATTGGATGGAGATTTGGTTTCCCTGTTGTAGGAAACCTTTCTTACGCTCAAAAAATACTGTCTCTCTCCCGACCACTCGGATGTGTCGGTGATTGTTGTCTCGACTCCCGTTCCTTTGTAGAGCCAGATCTCGACGTCTGACAGCTCAGAGTTCATGTAAAGCATATCCCAAACGGGTTTTGTTCTGCATTTTGTGAATAAATGATTCAATAAAATAATCGATTAATTGTTTGATTAAAATAACACTAACCTATGGATCAAATTATCATTGATTTGCATAAATGACTGCAAGTGTTCCGCACTGTGTGTTAAGTTAGAGCTAATTATTTCGAAACCTCTTTGTCTACTAAATGAAGACCAGTAGGAGATCTGACGAGAG